GGTTGAGACTTTGGTATGGGCCTGTGGGGAAGGGACAGGGACCTCACCAGGCCTGGGCTCTGCATTCACAGAGGATGAAGATGAGAATGCCGTGTTCCAGCCATCACAGCTGTTCGACTTCGATGATTTCCTGGAGTTTGATGACTTAGATGGGACACATGCTCTGATGGTGAGGGCCCAGGGGGCTGGCAGGGGTGTGCTTAGTTGGAAGGAGAGCACTAGAGTCCAGCTGGATGATCTCAGACAAATTCTTTCCTTCTCTGGGCCTCAGTTTCCCCATCTGTGGTAAAAACTGATTGCTTCTCTAAACCCTGGATAGAGCAGCAGAGTGTGAGGGACATGGTGGGGCTCAGACAAGGCTGGCCTGGCATCAGAACTCTGTTAGGTTGTGTCAGAAACTGGTACAAACTCCATGCCTGTTAATTCCCCCTTCCAAATAAAAACCCTATAGCTCATCTCCTTCCTCTGCCCCCCTAGCAAGTGAAGGCTGGAGGAAGGACTTTAAAATTCTGAAAAACGCTTATATGATGGTGTGGAGGATACGCGTGTGGATATGCGTCTTGATACCACCACCTACTAAGTCGAATTATACCAAATTGCCATATTTGTATGTTGGGAAAGGTTGAGTACTGGCAATTTCATATGGCTTAACCTTGTGAGCTCTTGGACAGGTCACTTACCCTCCTTGTGCCTTAGTTCCTTCATTTGTGAAATGGGGATAACAGTAGCACCTATTCATAGGGTTGTGGTGAGGATTAAATGAGTTGATGTTGAAAGTGCTTGGGACAGGGTCTAGCACATGGTGTCATTGCTTATTAATAATCCTGCCTCCCAGAATTGTGGGAAAGAGAGAGACGTGGAGCCTTTGTTACATGTTTTGTGCCCATCAGCTTGGAGTCACTGTCCTACCATTGAGCAAGTTACTGATGGCTATGGGCCAGAGCAAGGGGTGCTGTTCAGCTGTATGGCTTAGCCACTGACCAAAGGAGGCTGCAAGCCCACCTGCTCTCTGCTCACCAAGTGTGTGCCCTGCAGGAAAGGATGTACTTTCTTACCTTACACAAAGATGGTGTGTAGGCTAGAGGCCACCTTGGAAGCATCCTGTCCTCCTGTTCACCCGCCCTGCTCAGCAGGGTGGGAGGAAGCCTCCTCAGGCCTTGTGCTGCCCCACACCAAGCCCCCTGTCTCCTCTCCTCTCCCCAGTCCCGCATGGTTCGGAATGAGATTCCCTACTTCATTTGGACCTCTCGGCGGGACGTGCTGGATTGTCGCTTCCTCTCCAAGGATCAAATGATAAACCACTATGCCAGGGCTGGCTCCTTTACCACAAAGGTGGGCTCCCCAGGGGAGCAGGCAGGGCAGCTTCCAACCCCCCAGCCCGTAGGCCAGCAACACAGCTTGCTGCTCTCCTTGTCAATAAGAGAGTTCTCAAGAGGGGGTGGGTATATCATTCAGTGGGATTTGGAGTCAGACAGTCCTGGGTTCAGATCCAACCCGCTACATGTCTGGCACATGTAGACATACTGACTCAAAAAGACTCCAGAATCCAAACAGGAACTGAAGCCAGAACAAACACCAAGTTCAGTGACTGAGCAAGAGGGCCCTTACCTCCTAAGCAGAGGCTATCTCGCTGATGGATCCTGGGTTTATTAACAAGTGACTCCTCTCTGAGCCTCAGTTTCCTCACCTTTAAATGAGAATGCCAGTAAGACTATCTTTTGGGGCTGTGGCAAGAATGAAGGCTTCATAATTGGGACCTGCTAGTGTATTTTTTGGTGTGGACTGGGAAGGATTTCTAGAGGAAGCAGGACTTTAAGAACGTGACAGGTGAATAGGAGGGATGTGGGGCATTCTCGGCAGAGGGACGGCCTGGGCAAACCTACAGACATGGATATGAGGGAGTCAGGCCTCGCAAATGGGCAGAGGTCTGAGACCATGTAGGCAGGGCCTCCTAGAGCTTTCTGAGCATGTGCCAAGGGTGGGGGATCGCTTGGAGTTTCTCTGGGCAAGTCCCACCCTGCCCCCTCAGCGGCTAACTCCATAGGTGGGTCTATGTCTCAATCTCCGGAATTTGCCATGGTTTGACGAGGCTGATGCCGACTCCTTCTTCCCACGCTGCTACCGCCTGGGGGCTGAGGATGACAAAAAGGCCTTCATAGGTAAGCAGATGCTCAGCCCCATGCCCGACCCCTCAGACTGAAGGATGAGGGATGAGGCCCTGGCTCATGTTGGAGAGTAAAGGGCCTTTCTCCTTGTGCCCTTATCCACTCCAGCAGAATTCCTCCATCCCTAATCCTTATCCTTCCCCTAATGTGCCTCCCTTTATGAACCTCCTAGCTTGTTCAACTCACACCTCCAGAAGAGCATATGCAGCTTATATTCTAGAGCAGGTTCTAAAAGTTGGTTGATGGGTTAAGTTTGGAATCCAGAATGGGTTCCAGGCCTGTGTCAGATTCCACTGGTTACATCAGGTTCCTAATCTAGAAAAGACTCTAAGAATAGTTTCCAACTTTAGAACATGTTCTAAATTCAGGTCAGAATGTGGGTCCAGATTAGATGCTAGGTTTCAATTAGACTCCAAATCTGAAATAGGTTTTGGGCCAAGGCTTGGTTCTCAGGCTAGAATAGGTATCAAAAGTGGATCAGGAACAGAAGAGAGAAATAAAACAGGTCTAAGTGAGATTCTGAAGGCAGAATATGAGTCAAGTCAGATCAGCTTCTGGGTCTGATTCTATAGTTGAAACAGGAGGCAGGTTCTGGTCAGGGCAGATCGGTCACCGGCCTCTGGAGAGCTGCTTACGGCAGCTCTTGGCAGCTCACGCTGGCTGCCCGCCACTCACGGTAGCTTATGGCAGCCCACTGTAGCAGGGGCTGCAGCCTATGCTGTCACCATCGCCAGTGACTCATGGCAGCCCAGTTTCAGGTCGAGCTGTTGTTCACCATCTTAGGTGTAAAGGGTGCAGCGTCACTGGCCCACATGTGGGATCCGAACCAGGGCCCTGCTGCTCAGAGCTGGCGTCCCAAGCCAGCTCTTAACCAACGTGCCACTTGGCCAGCCCATTACTATTATAATTATGACTATGCATATTTATTTCTCTACTTGTTTATAACCTGTCTCCCCTACTGGAATACAAACATTTCCTGAAGGCAGAGCCCATAACTGTCTGGTTCACCATCCCATATGTCTGGCACTTAGGCAATATTTACTGAACAAGTATCCTTCTCTCACTTTACAGCAGAAGAAGATCTTTATGATCCAAGGCCGTTACCCGGTGATCCGGTGCCTCTTGCGCCAGAGGGGATGGGTGGAGAAAAAGATGGTCCATCCCTCGGGCACCACCCTGCCGCCACCCCAGAAGGATCTGGATAGCTCAGTAATGGGTGACAGTGACACCACTGAGGATGGTGAGCAGTTCCCTCTCATTTCCAAAAGTTGCCCCTCATGAGTCCCTCTCCTTTGGTTCCTACTGTTCCAGGGTTGAGACTTTGGTATGGGCCTGTGGGGAAGGGACAGGGACCTCACCAGGCCTGGGCTCTGCATTCACAGAGGATGAAGATGAGAATGCCGTGTTCCAGC